GTTCTTTCTTCTTTTGCCCTCTGCATGTAGAGACCTATTGAAGGCTCTTTAAACTTTAATAAGGAATGCTATCTTTTTTTTTTCATCCATCTCTAATGCTGATATGGCTTATCATAAAACACTAGTCAAAAAGTCAAAAAAACACTATAAGTTATCACATCACTCTCTTTACTTTTCTGTTTATCTTTTCGTAAAAAGTTAAAAAAATATTTAAATAATTTGTTCTCAAATAAGGCCTATTTGAATAGAACGCTAGATAGAGAGTAGCAACTCCAATGCTATTATTTATTTATTTTTCTAGCTAAAGTATGAAAAAGGAATACTCTTTATTTTACCAAAAAATTACTTTTTTTAAAAAGGAAAATACTTTGGACCCCAGCCCCCCCACTAATTTTTGATTGGCTGAAACTGTATTTTTTTTTTTTTTTGAACTTGCTAGCACAGCCCCCCACATGGAGGTGGGGTGCTGGGGTCACCCCCACTGGGGTCCCCAGCAGTGTTCTTTTAAAAATTTATTTATGTGCTCCAAAACTACTCTTTATTTTATCTATTTATTTATACAAATTATTTAAAGAGCCTCCAAAGCCTCTAAAAATATAGCTAGTTTGACAAAAAAATTATTAAAATAGCTAGTGTTGTAACTAACTTGTTAGAGGAATTAAAATAGAATGAGATTAGTTATAATAATTAACAAGTCTCTTTTAAAAAATTTATTGGAGATATTCATACAAGATGCTAAAGTTATAGGTATAGTAAAAATTGTCCTTTTCATTTCCTTTAACTAGCAAAAAAATGACTAGTATAATTGGAATTGGTCTAAGGATTTTTTTTTTTTTGACTTGCTAAGTTATTGGAGAATAAGCATTTTATTCGGTTTTTATTATTGGATAACGGGAGTTTTTTTATTTATTTATTAGCCTTCAACAAAGAAGATATTTTCCCTCAACCTTTGAACGGTTTTTTTTTTTTTTTTTTTTTTTTTGGGGAGTCTTTTAACAAAAAAAAAAAAATCAAAGAGAGTAAAAATGTTGGACCTTTAGAACTTTGGTTATGATTAAAATAATAGCAAGTTGTGTGAGAATCTTCCTCGTATATGTCTTGCTTTAATGCTGAGACCCTGACATCTAGATTCATTTGCAATGTGACAGATTTATGGCAATGTGACAGCTTTATGACACACTATTAGGTTTCATTTGTCAACATTTACTTTTAAAATGATGTTAGAAATTTTAAATAATTTATTAAATAATTATGTTGCAGATCTCTATCCCTAGTAAGGTGGCGAGTACTGAAACTTAAAAAAAATAAAACAAAAAATAAAACAATTTTTTTTTTGTCCAATCACGACGTGCCACCTCACTGGGGGTCGACCTCCAGTAGGGGTCTGAAGCATTTTTTTTTATTAAATATTTGATATGAGTGTGGTATTTATACATATGTGAATTTGTGTGGATTTTACATTTATATGAGATATTTGAGTTAAGTTTGGTATGTTAAAAAAGAGCTAATAAGTCAAAAAGTAACTATTCTATTTAAGTCATATCATCTTATTTAAGTCACATAACCTCTCTACCACATCACTTCAAACTATGGGTGGGCACGGGTCGGTTGCGGCCACGGAACCTCTAATCTGCCATCCGTCTGTCAGATTGGCGGATTAAAGAAAATCAATCCGCATCTGTCTGCCAATCCGGCGGATGCAGATTGAGCGGATTGGCGGTTTGGTGGATGGATACGAATCGGTTTGGCGGTTTGAAATTTTATAAATTTTCAACACAGTTCAACTTGTGCACTTCCTAAAAAAAAAAAAAAAAGTATTACAGTCAATGACTTAAAACATCCAAAGAAAGAAAGTTTGAAACTTTAGATTATCACAATCACTGCATGCCTCATCCACATATTACAATCACAGCATGTCTCGTCCACATAAAGTATTACAATCTATGGTTCTTAAAATATAAAAACAATTCAAACTACCAAAACCATGAATAGAGCAATAATAAAGATTGTATGTCTCTATATTGTTACATTTATATATGTTTTTGAAAACAAAAATCAATCAGCATATCATATTTTCTATTTATTACTTTTAGAGTTAGATTTAAAAATAAAAAAATATAGATAAATAATACGTTTATTTTTTTCAATTCAAAAAATATATTCAAGTTGAAAACTTTTTTCAACAGAATATTTGAACTTTTTTTCAATTGAAAACACAAACAAAATATTTAAAAAAATTGAAAACATAAAGTCTTATAAATTACTAAGGGTGCTCGCGGTTTGGCGGTTTGGCGGTTCGGTTGCGGCCAAAGGAACCTCAAATCCGCCATCCGTCCGCCAAATTGGCGGATTTGAGAAAATCAATCCGCAACCATCCGCTCGCCATCACGCCGGCGGATCAATTCGGTTCGGTCGGTTTTGGCGGATCGGTATATCTGCTGCTCACCCCTACTTCAAACCCAACCCATATTTCATAAAAATTAAAAAAGTACACTTATTTAGAACATCCCAAACAACCTCTAGTAAAACATTTGATAGATTAATTAGGGTTCATTGCATTTTCCTACTTTTTAATCAAAAAATTAAAAAGTTATCAAAAAAAATCAAAAAGTTAATAAATTATACAAAAAAGTTAAAGATTTTTGTTTCACAGCTTTTTATAAAAAATTATTCTAAACATACTTATTTTTTTATCTTATATTTTAGCTAAAAAATTAAAAAATTATTAAAATAACATATTCTCAAATGAGGCCTAATACTAAAATATTTTTTCTATTTTTTTTAATAGACAACCACCTACTTCACACCTAGGGCGGAGCAAGGAATCCGTGAAATTCGTAATCCGATCCAGTCCAGTCCAATCTAGTAGGTTTGGATTGATTTTTTGAATCTGTGGTTCAGTTCCGGAGTGAAAAATTAAAAATCCGTAGTTCACGGATTGGTTCCGGATTGAATTCTACGGTTCCAGATTGGAACTGATCCGGATCGTATACAAATAGTCTATGTTTTTATTATACACTCTCCTGCATAGTATTTTCTCTTATTTCATATAAAACTTAAATCCAAACTTAAACTCGCCTGGTATCTTCTTTTATTACTTTTGTTTGCTAGTTTTTAGTGTTAATTTGTAATGATCTAAATACATATGGTGGAATTAGTTTTTTTATGATTGTTTAATTTCTAGAACAGTATGTCACTATTATGAAAAGACATGTTTCTATTGTGAAACTAATATGGTGCTTTATTTATATTTTTATGAAATTAAAGTGTTATATATATTTTTTTGTTATTTAATTATGTAAATCCATAGTCCTAAACCAATCCAATTTGTATTTAAATGAATTGGTTCGGATTGGTTCCACGATTTAAACGGATTGGATTAGTTTCGATTTTTTAGGAATCGTAGATAACGGATTAGTCTTGATTTTACTTCAATCTGGTCCAATCCGGACCATGCTCATCCCTAACCATCAAATTTAGGTCTTGTTTGTCAAAATTTAAAAAAGTTAAAAAGTCAAAAAGTTACTATACTATTTAAGTCATATCATCTTATTTAAGTCACATCACTTTTCTATCATATCACTTCAAACCCAATCCATACCTAATCTATATTTCATAAAAAATCAAAAAGTACATTTATTTATATCATCCCAAACAACCCCTTATATCGGAAGTGTAAATCAGTGCCTATGTAAGACATAAATTGAAAATTTTAGACAGGGATCAGTAATTTTTATTTAAAATTTATTTTATTTTTGTACTTTATGAGATATAAAATTATTAATTAATTTTTCATGTTTAAAATTACCTAATATGTTATTTTTAATTGATATTATGACTAATTAATTTAATCTTACTTATGACATAGTGGATCTTAGGTGTAATTATATCAATTATATATATATATATATAAATGATATATAAATTCACTTTCTAAATCTAATGATGTGTAAGTGATATGATTGATTGATAATTGAGAAGACATGAGAGAAAATGTTACGTAGATATCTTAATTGATTATCATATCATTAAACCTAAAAATTTGGTTTAATTTTTGAACTTAAATAGCAATGTCCATATATATATATCTATATAATATGGAAGAAAGCTTTTTGAAAATGTCCCAAATGTATCAGAGATACATTTGGTTTTAAGGGCCAAGATGAATCCTGAGTTTAGATCAACGGCCAAGATGAATCAGAGATACATTTCCCACCCGTTTTAATTCATCTCTCCCTCTCTCCCAAGTCCCCAAACACGTTCTCTTCAGCTCCCTCTCTCCCACGTTCTCTGTCACAGTGTCTCTCATCACCACAGCCATTGAAGACCCTTCGAACCCTTCGATACCTACCGTTCCTCTTCGATGCCCAACCCTTAGATACCCACCCTCCCTCTTCGCTACGCTACTCCTCCTTCCCTTACAACCCTTCTCTTCGACCTAACCAAGGCTATCACCGACCGAGCCTCCCTCCATCCGACGATCGAGTCTCTCGCCTGACTCGCTTCTCGCCGCTCAGTCCCGCCGGACTCTCTTCTCTTCGACGATCTGTCTTCTCTCGACTCTCTCTCCGACCAGCGACTCCAACCTACAGGTATATAACTACAAATTGAAATCTGTTGTTGTAGAATTAGGTTTTTTTTAGGATTTTTTTTAGGTTGTAGAATTAGGTTTTTTGTTGTTGTTGTAGAATTTGGGATTTTTTTTTTAGGGTTTTTTGTAAGGGAAAAAAAAACCCTTACAAAATCTGTTGTTGTTGTAGAATCTGTTGTTGTAGAATCTATTGTAAGGGTTTTTTAGGATTTTTTTTTAGGGTTTTTTGTAGAATCTGTTGTTGTACAAATTGAAATGTGTTGTTGTAGAGTTTAAAATTTGTTCGACGCTCTGGTCGCTAGCAGAGACACAGCTCTCCCAACTAAAATCCCGGAAACGTGATGAATTGTTTAGCAATTACGGGTAATTTGTTTCAGTATATTATCATAGACATTTCTACCATTTAAAGTTTTTTTTTTTTTTTTGGGAAATTGCTACTGCATTTACTGAAATTCCAGGGTCTACTGTTGTTCCCTTCACCGCGATGCAAGCAGCTGTGTCGAAGAACATGTTGGAGAGTCTCTCGGTGCCCACTTTTCGGGTTGGATATCCCGTGACTACTGATGCCCTAGATGCTCTGTATGAGAAGGTACTATTGAATGATTATATGTTTATTTCAATTGTAATGGATATGATAGCTATTGAAATTTTGGTTATCGAAATGGGCTTGCTTTAGAATTGTTAGGTTAAGCCCAACGGTGTGACTATGACTTTATCTATGCTAGTGTAGTTGGATCTTTATCTGTTGTCGGAGTTGGTAGAAAAAGCCTGGGCCAAGCAACTTCAGCCCCATGAGTACAATTAAGGTTTTTAATATTTTGTTTTTGTAAACTTGAGTGTAGAGTTTTGGATTTGTAAACTTCTTTCAATAGAAAATGTAATTGAGTTATGCTGGTTGTGCATGTAGGGACTTTTACTCTTTCCAATTTGGGCATGTTTGGAGTGGATAGGTTTGATGCTATTCTTCCTCTAGGCCAGGTTAGTAATGAGGGCGAGGCCTTTCACCTCCAATAACTTATGAAGTTCTCTACTCACAAATATATTTAGCTGTTTGATTTAAACATTAATCATGTCCAGGGGGCTATAATGGCTGCTAGAGCATCAAAGCCTACTGCTATAATAGGTGAGGTGAATATAAATTGATTGTGAATTGGCCAGACCCAAGTTTTACATTCATTCTTAGATTCAGTAAATGCTTATATACAGAGAATTCATCATGGTTCAGTAGTTGTCAGCAACATCTCTGTTTCTAAAGTTTGATTTTCTTCACTTTTCTGCTGCTGTTTACTATATAGAAGTAGGAAACCCCTTTCTCTACTTGAAATATATTTTTTTGTGTAACCCAGATGAAAAATATATATATATATATATATGCATTTATGTGATGTTTGTTGTTTGAACCTATTGAAAACAAAGTAACAATTTTTACTAATATTCATTCATATTTATAATGTGTGTCTGAGCTTGGTTTTGGCTATAGATGATGTTGCTAGATTTGTCTCTTCAAGTTTTATTTTATTTTTTCTAAAAAAACAAACAGTGGAATTTTTGTTTAAGTAATAGTAATCTTGATTGTGAAATATTTCATCAAGCTTCTTTGATCTGGCATAAACCCTTTTTCACTTTGATTTTCCTTTTTACCATTCTACATATAGTTTGTTCCTAATCTTTAAAAAAATGCTCCATTTCAAATTTGTCATTGATTTATAGAACTTATGAATCGCTTTTACTAGACATTCAAAACTGGTTATGAACATTTTAATAGGGTTCTTTTATTTGGCACATGGACTCTCTGTTTTTTTGCTCATTGATGCTTGATCTATGTAAAATGTCATCCAAGTACATTTGGTGCCAATCTATTGGAAATTCATAGCTTTCGTTGAGTACATCATTTGCATAAAAAATCAAGTAAATGGAATAAATATAGACCTATGATCAAACTCCACTTTTTAAAAAACTTTTCAAAATCATATTAACTTTTTATTTTTTTAAAACATAAACATAATCTTATTATAAATTATAAATATATAATTAACCCACTACGGCACCTCCGTCCTCCATCGCAGAGAAACTGTAATCATCTATACCCATCTTTGATTTTTATTTTTTATTTTTTATTTTTTGAATATTAATATTAAATCGGAATCGGAAGCGAACAGTTTTTCTTCTTCTTCTTCCATTAATATTTCAGAAATTAAGAGGACAAATTATCTCTTTATTTGAATTTATGTTTGAATCAGATTTTGTTTCTTTTGTTATATAGATTACCATGTCATATTGTTGATTATGGTTTCATGTCTATAAAAAGTGAACAGCTTTTTTTTTTCCTTCTATCTTTCTGTATTATTAATTTACATGATTTTGTTAGTTCCGCTAAGCCCAGTTAGAAGAAAACATATATTTCTGACAGTTGGTATGGAGATTTGGATTGAATTAAGAATATGATTTTCATAGTGTCAGTTTTTTAACTTAGTTTTGACAGTTTGGAGTTTATAAATTTAGATTCTTTGAAATAACAGAAGTAATGGGCTTCATCTGTATTTATATTCTGTTTTAGACAATATTGGTTCTAGTTCGCATTTGTTATTATTATTATTTTTTTTGATGTTTTATTAAGATAATTTGTGTGAATAAGCCATTTTAAGACAATTTTTTCCTTCTGATCTTAGTTCAAAACAGTTTGTCCTAATTTGTGTACTGACTTTTTTTTTTTTTGAACAAGGTGTACTGACTTTAATTTGTGTGTATTAGATACGATTGTGTGTATTATATATGGATGTGCACTAAATCTGAGCATGTTAATGAACAGATTTAAGCATCCATTTTATAGTTTGTTCCTAATCTTTAAAAGAATGAATTTTGAATTGGAAAACATTAGGATTCAAATTGTTTACAGGCTCTGTCAAATCATTTGGTTTGGACCATGAATTGGAAAACACATGTCCCTGTTCCACATATTTTTCTAGCAGATGTGTTTGATAATTGAGGAATACTAGATAATTATAGGATTTGTGTGTATTAGATAATTAAATGTCTTATATATAGATATATATTGGTTTCTAGGTGTGGATTTGGGATGGGTGTTAGTGTTTTGGATCATATTTTCATGAATTGAATGATTTATATTATAGGATTCGTTGAGTACATCATTTGCATAAAAAATCAAGTTAATGGAATAAATATAGACTCATGATCAAACTCCACTTTTTAAAAAAATTATCAAAAATCATATTAACTATTTATTTTTTTAAAACATAAACATAAAACTGAAGTTTGAAAACACCACATAAACATAAACATAAAACTGAAGTTTAAAACGTAAACATAAAATTATATTAACTATATAATAAGTTACAAAGGTTTTTGAATTTATGTCAAAAATATATGTGAGATACATTTTGATCCAATGGCTGAAATTAATCCTAAGTTTGTATCAATGGTTCAGATCAATATATCTCCCGCCCAAAAGACTTTCTCCCTAAAAGCATCGTTGTTGCCTTCCCACCTACCCATGTCTGCCTCCCCCCCTCTCCCTCTCCCTCTCCCTCTCCCTCTCTGTTCTTCTTCTTCTTGAATACTTCTTCTCATCTGTCATTCACAGATACATCTCTCTCTCTCCTCAAAACTTTTCTCTCTTCCTCCTATTTCTTTCATACGTTACTCTCTCTTCTCTTGCGATGACCAAAGCCGTCGCGACACCGACGACCACCGACCACCTCTCCTCTCCCTCGCTGGAGACCCAAACCCGAACCCTTTATTCCTGTCCTCCTCCCTCTCTCCCAGCAATAACCTTAATCCCTTCATCTCCCGCTCCCTCATCCCCCTTCATCACTTTAGGGCTTTAAGGCTAGACCAAACTCAATCTGCAGAGGCAGTCTTGCTGTTCCTGTTCGGAGAAAACCCACTGCCAGTGGGCCAACATGGAACCTTGGCCTTCGCTCCAACACCAACAGGTATGTATGTATGTATGTATGTATGCATTTCACTTCTCTCTTTCAAATTCCATGGATTGTTTCAACCCAATTGGATTTCTGATATCTTCTTGCAAATCCCTCTCTTCTTGCCCTCCGTTTTCTTGGAATTTCTGCCTTCTTGATTTCGCTTTGTTTGATTTTTATGTGTGTTCTTTATGCTGAGTTATTATACTCACAATCTTTTGAAATCTATGCACCTTTTGAAGTTACTTATTTCTTCTTTTGCTTACAATCTGGAAATGGTTGTTATGATAAAATTGATTTTTGTAAATTGGTGATACTTATGTACACTTATAGAGGTTGGTCAAAATAGTATGTAAATCCCTCTGATATCTTCTTGCCAATCCCTCTCTTCTTGCCCTCCGTTTTCTTGGAATTTCTGCCTTCTTGATTTCGCTTTGTTTGATTTTTATGTGTGTTCTTTATGATGAGTTATTATACTCTCAATCTTTTGAAATCTATGCACCTTTTGAAGTTACTTATTTCTTCTTTTGCTTACAATCTGGAAATGGTTGTTATGATAAAATTGATTTTTGTAAATTGGTGATACTTATGTACACTTATAGAGATAGGTCAAAATGTTATGTAAACTTATTAAGAGCACAACTTGGTTAGGAGATAAAACATAAACAATCCTTGGTGAAATTTAGTACCCAAATCTGCCAATTCGAAGTTGTTTGGAGTTGAAGCACAATGTAAAATACCAACTCAAGTAATTAGATGTAACAGCGTCACACCTTTCCTTCTTTCCTTCCTATTTTCGTTTCTTTTCAATCAAACAAGAAGAAGGAAACCCATAGCTGTTTCCCTAGGGTCCTATTTCCATTCTCTCCAGTTGTTCATCTTTTTCACCAAACATAACTATTCTAACACCAACATAGAGAGCTGTGTGGTGGTGTCAATAGAGAGACATCTAATGATGACAAGAAATGCTAAATTTGTTCAATTCATGGGGTGGAAACCATTGACTAGAAGAGTGAGAAATCATGTCCAATTCATTGCTTATACCTGAGAGTGTTACTAGAGGTAGAAATTTCATATGCAAGTGTAAATTTGAGATTGTGAGAAACTTGAGAAATTCCACTGATACACTTTGATGACAATAGAAACATGTGATGTGGTAGTACGACACTAGGACTCTTAGCAATGGGTTGCTTACAATTGGTTTTTTGGTAGACTAGGGTTATGGAAAGCTTGGCTAAATGACTTCAATTGCATTATCTTCTACATTTATTTTCTCTGTAATGTTTTTTTTATTTTTTATTTTTTATCTGCATTGGAAGGCTACAATCGAAGTCAATTAAATTCTGTTTGATGTGGATTTGAATTTCATTCGAAAGGAAATCACATTCTTGAGTAAGGCCAAGGGGAACCCTCAACTTTCCAATAAGGCCAAGGGGAATAAAAACACTCAACCAACTAGGGGAGGAATGAATATTGAGATTTTGAACTTCCAAAAATGTTACTCATCGATATATCAGTTGATACATATGAGCTGATAACTACTAATATGTATCCCAATACAGTTGATATATATAGGATTTGAATTTTTGAATGGTGGTGGCAATTTGCAGGTGTTGCATCACTTCTGGGGAAGAGATCTATGTCATTTTCAGCCATTGAAGTATGTGATCATGAAACCAATGGGGTTGAAGATGACTTATCTGATGATGGGTCACAAGCTGGCGAGAAAAAGAGGAGACTGAACTTGGAACAAGTGAAAACACTTGAGAAGAACTTTGAGTTGGGAAACAAGCTTGAATCTGAGAGGAAAATGCAGCTGGCAAGGGCTCTTGGGCTGCAACCAAGACAAATAGCTATATGGTTTCAGAATAGGAGGGCTAGGTGGAAGACAAAGCAGTTAGAGAAAAACTATGATGTTCTTAAGAGACAGTTTGATGCTATCAAGGCTGAAAATGATGCTCTCCAATCTCAGAACCAGAAACTTCAAGCTGGGGTATGGTTTTCGAAATTTTTGTTTTTTTGAAAACAAAAATAATGAGTTCGGAAACACTCATCGTTTTCGTTTTTGTTTGAAAACAGCTGTTGAAAATTTGGAAAAGTTTTTGAAAGTGTTTTTCTAAAAGACGGGTGTTTTTAGAAATTGCCAAACGAAGTTTTCAGGTCATTTTTTTTTAAACAAAATTTGAAAACAAAACCAAAGGGAATTAATTCCAAAATTATTTTGATGCTTTGGGAAGATGCATGTGTTGATAACTGTTAGATTTTAGTTTGGACAAAATTCCCCTTCTTTATTGCCAATTGAGTAAGCAACTTTTCTTTTCTTTTGTTTTTGTTGTTGTTTTTGTATTTTTTTTTTGGTGGATTGATTAAGAAGAAGAAAAAAAAATCAATTTGAATCACTTTAGATAGCCATAATTATGGTCGTCATTTTGGGTGTTGTTTCTGTTTTTCAAGTTTTCATAAACAAAAACAATGAGTAGTTCAAAAACACCAATTGTTTTCATTCTTTTGTGAAAGTAACTTTGAAAATTTAAAAAACAATTCAAATAAGCTTTTTTCAAAAAACTTCAATTTTCAAAAACAGTTGGCAAGCAAATTTTCTGAGTCAACTTCTATTTTCTGTTTTCCAAAGTAAAAGACTATACTAAACTCACCCATATAGTTGTTGATTTTCATTCCATTCTGTTGCAAACACAGAAAAGAGCATAAAACATGCATTAATGAAATAAAATTTTATAAAATTCGCTGATGAGGCCCACTTTAAAAAAAAAAAATTGTCTTTCATATATTGTAATGCTACAAATCCAGAAGATTTACTTTAGAAAATCACATAGAAAAAAAAAAATGAATAGTCTACATCTATTTTGAGTGTGTGTGATCTACATTCCATCAACTTTAAATTTACATCACATACTCACTTTTAGAATAATATTCAAGATAAATTTTCATGAACCCTTGCATTTTATTCCATATATATTTTATGTTCGATGCTATAATCAGTTTTTATGTATCCAAAACTTCTTGATTTTTCCTATCTAAAAAACAAAACTTTCATGACCCAAAAAAGCAAGAACTAGAACCCAAAAATAATCACTGCATAGGCCACCAATGGGTTTTTAAACATAAATCAATTTGAATTCAAGACACCCAAAACATGTAGCATATCCATCTTTCCACATAGTGAAACACTTGCTATGTTCTGACTTCTAAGTTCCAACTAATTGAGTGCATTAATTGCAATTTAGAAGTAAATGAATTGTCTATCATCAAGCAGTTCTAACATTTGGATATGAGCAATTCAAATGTACATTGCCACTTGATGTATGCATGAACATATGATTTACTAGGAATTTATGTACCCATGGTGGCGATGGATCAGATAGCCAATTTAATATTGTCATTTCTCAGAGAGCAGAGTGGATCAAGTATCTAGGAGTTTTTGCTAACATGGAAACCAGAGCAAATCAAGTCTATGATGCTGTAAGTACACAAATTATCGCATTTATTTACCACTATCTAAAGTTAATTAAGTACCATGTTTTCATGAATTAGTCAATACATGGATTTCAGATTTGGTTAGATTTCAGATTTGTTTATTAGATGTTATAAATATGGTTAGATTTCTCAAGTTTATTGCTAATCGATGGATTTCAGATGGATTTCAGATTTGGTATTTACAGATGGATTTCATATTTCTTAAGTTATAAATATGGTATTTATAGACGGATTTCAAATTTGTGGGTATATATAGATGTTATAAATATGGTTACATATTTACAGAATCTGTTGGTTTCAGATTCTAAGAATTTTTTAAACTGAAATGGAGTACTTGGGTTTTTTAACTACTTTCATGTTGTTGCTTTGTAAAATATTCTCACTCATTATGTAAGACGTGAATATCACAAAGAGCTTAACATTCTCTATGATTTCAAGAGCAGGGTTATCTTTTCTTTGTTTGGTTTTTGTTCTGTTATTATAACCTTCAAGTAAACAAGGGCAAGTAAGCATAGGATTAGTATCCAGAGTTTAAAGTGCATTTTCTTTGGCTGAGTGGATGAGATAAAGGCTCTGAGTGGATGAGATAAAGGCTGAAATGGAGTACTTGGGTTTTTAAACTACTTTCATATTGTTGCTCTGTAAAATATTCTCACTCTCTCTGTGGGAGCTTGCATTTTAAGATTAGTATCCAGAGTTTGGTAATGAGGTGCGGTGTTGAAGAGAATGAAAGAGTAGAGAAAAAATGTTGATTTTTTTAGCACCTAATCTAAATGAGAGAATTTTTTTGGAGCATTTGAGGATCAGGATTTAGCTATTGTAGAGCTCCCGGCTTTCACCTCACTGAAACAGTCCTTCTAGCGAAGGATCTAGAATAAGTTGAGGGTTGAATTTCATGCTCTTGAGTAGGCCGCCCTGCCTTATTTTTGAGTTGATTTAGTTAATCATAGGAGGGATGATTGCCTTTTTCTTATGTTTGGTACTTGAAAAAGTGTTTGCTGGTTAGCATTTAATTGCATTGACAGTTAATTATTACAAATATTTTTTTTAATAGATGGTACATTTGTCAAATAGAATTGTTAATACTTTTATGTCCTAAATTATCATTAGATTTTTTCTTTTTTCGTTCTTAAACTATGAATTTGTTTATTGTCTCTAGAGTTTCTTGAAAGAATAGTTTTGGTGGATATAGCAACCATGGTTTAAAGGAATATTATGAAAATATTCAAAGTTTGATTAATCTTCAAAATATTCAAACAATCTGCGCTATTTTTACAATCTGTTTTATTTTTGTATTCAAACAATCTGCTCTATTTTTATTTTGTATATGGAAAGTATTCAAAGTGGTGTGGTTCTGCCCATATTAAAGAGGTGTGGTTTTGTATATTGAAAGTATTCAAAGAGGGCCCTTGAAGTTCTACAACAAAGAGGTGTGGTTCTGCCCATTCCAGTGAATTTATCTTTACATTTATATGCATGGTTTCATTTATTTATTTGAGTTTGTTCTTTTTGTTTTCCCAATTTTCGGATTATTTTCCTTCTCAGATTCATGCGGCAGCTTTTTGTTTGCCATCTTTCGCCAAGAAGGTGATTGAATCCAAATCTAAATGAGAGAATTTTTTTGGAGCATTTGACGATCAGGATTTAGCTGTTGTAGAGCTCCCGGCTTTCACCTCACTGAAACGGTCCTTCTAGCGAAGGATCTAGAATAAGTTGAGAGTAGAATTTCATGCTCTGAGTAGGCCGCCCTGTCTTATTTTTGGTGAGTTGATTTAGTTAATCGTAGTAGGGATGATTGCCTTTTTCTTATGTTTGGTACTTGAAAAAGTGTTTGCTGGTTAGCATTTAATTGCATTGACAGTTAATTATTACAAATATTCTTTTTAATAGATGGTACATTTGTCAAATAGAATTGTTAATATTTTTATGTCCTAAATGATCATAATTTTTTTTTTTTTCGTTCTTAAACTACGAATTTTGTTTATTGTCTCTAGAGTTTCTTATTTCAGTTCATGTGGTTCATTAGAGACAAACAAAATAATAATAGTTGAAGTTTGATTTTATTGGTAAGAAAAGACAACCAAACATACAGACTTTCTTTTTTTAATATTTTGAACAAACTACACCCCACAAATCAATTTGATAGGTGTTTGCTTTGGTTAAATTGTTCAAATTTTAGACGGATCTTTTTTATCATTAAATTGGTTAAATTGTCTTTTAAAGGGCCTACAATCTGCTTTATTTTTATTTTTGTATTCAAACAATCTGCTTTAATATGTTAGGCTCTTATTTTGTATTCAAAATATGTTAGCCATCAATATATAAATACAATTAATTAATTAATACCACTAAGAAATTTAATTCACAACCTTAATACTCGTTATTGCAACCAACTCCAAGGTAAGGCTATTCATGCGCAATTGCATTAAGTTTGAATTGTGAAAATAAACGCCAATTGGTTATTAATGTGTTATTTTTTTTGTCTAATCTCTATTTAACTAGGTATAGTTTCCTTCTCTTCAGCTTCACTTCCATTTGTATCATATAAATTTTGTGTGTTTCATAAACTTAATTTTCAATTTCTTTTCAGATTTTCCCTCTGCTGCTCTCCAGCCCTGTTCTTCTTCTTCCATACCCTCGCTCCCAAAACTGCTGCTCTCCAGGTAAGATCACTCTTTTCATTTTATGTGGTGACTATGTACTAGATTTTATTTGTTTATAGATTGATACTATTTTCCAGCGTATTTGTAGAATCTAACAACTTTCTCCTTGATAGCTTTACATTCCACCAATCTGTTGCCTTGCTCATCAGAAATGTTGAGAATTTTGTTACTCATCATATGAGAAGCCACTTTCTTATGAAAAAGCTTAGTAATACTGTCACCTGAAGCAAGCCGCTGCACTCTTGATCTCTATCGTTTAAAATTTTCTTTAGCAGTAGGCAAATCAATGTAATTTGCCAAACCTTCTTTCTTAGCTAAATGCATCTCCTCATCGAGAGGATTGTTGTGACACCTATGCTGCAACTTATGAGGAGTATCTTTTGCTTCTGGAACTTTGGTAGAGATACCACTATAGAATATCTGGTTCAATTATTTCAGAACGGGTTTCAATCTTTTCAGTTTCAAAGACAGCTTCAACATTGCAGATCCTTAACTGCTATTTCTGGAGATTGTTTTCTTCGTAATTATATATCTGATTTCAGCACTTGCTGATATGGAAATTCTATATCTTTTTCTTTATTTTTTGGTCTCTTGAGGATGGGGGAGGGGATACATAATTGTTTTACTCCAATATCATGCTACCACTTCAAAAAAGCTAGACATAGGTGGAGATTTAAATTTGGAATTGGGAGTTTACAAGAGTTTGGCTCTTACATTGTCGAAACTATTCGCTCCCATTCTCTTTTTATCTCGAGTCGATCACTTCGCTCACTCTTCTCAAACTAAAGGTAAAGATCACTCTGTTTATTATGTTTGATTGCTATCACACGGACTCTTTACATTAAGGTAAAGACTCTTGGCTCCAAATTTCAGGATTTTATCTTTGTCAGTTTCCGCGATACCTCTCTCTCTTTTTTATTCTTATTTGTGTTTGTGTTTGTGTTTGGCTGGGCAAAAGAATAATTTCTTCTAGGTTTCCTTTTCATAAATTTAATTTTTTTTCTTTCCTTTTAAACAAAGCCCAAAGTAACTGATATGGGTTTGTAGAGTCGTACCTTAAGTTGGTGAGATACATGACCTGTGAAATTTTGACAGTACCATATGAAATTAATGTCTGTGGTGGTGACCATTGTTTTTTACTGGGGTTAGAGAAATAGACGTTTTGATGTCCTTTTCTGAGGAAAATGAGGAGTAGTGGTAGATGGGGAAAAGAGATGGGGGTTGTGATGGATCATGGTAAGGGTAGCAAATGACTGTCAACACCAAAATAAAGGGAAAAAATTGTTAGACTGTTTAAATGGCCCATAGAAATGAATGGTTAGAATTAAAATAATTTCAAGTTAGGATTGATTTGTTACCGAGGTCAAGATTTTGAAGTTTTTTTTTTCTTTTTAAAATTTCCCAAAAATCAATATATGAAATCATGAATTACTTGGTATATTTGTCATTTATCCTAGGTATGCATACAATTATAGGGCAGGCTCTAAATGCACTTCAAATTTTAGGTTGCATTTAAAGCCTCCCAACCACAAATATAAATAATGTCATAGATGGAAGAAGGCAATGTAACCAACTCCTTGCCAATTCAAGTCAACAACAAGCACGAAGGCCGTGTAATTCTATGAACACAAAAAGTTAAAACATTTTTTGAACTGCCTAATAAAATGAAAGCAAAATTCTACTTTCAAATTCTACCTGTTATTATAATATTTTTATTCTTTTATAGGATTACTATTAAGAACTAAAAAACCTTATTGTTTTTCTTTGTTTAACCTCTGATCATTTTTTGTAAAGGTTTTATCTGATCGGAATTTGGATTTGAATTCATTTGCAATCTATGATTTTGTCGGTCAAAGTGGCGTTCTTGAATTTATTTATTTATTTATTTAATTTTGTTGTTTTGATTATCAATTTGATTCACTTTATAGTTTCTTACATTGGTTTGACATCGATTACTGATTGACACGATTAGGGTTTTGCTACCTTTGTTGAGATATGTTCTTTCATTTTTTTTTTTAATAGGGAATTGATTTTTGAAGATTTTGTATCTGCTTAGTTTTAGTTAAATGTGAATTGGGATTTCTGAGATGAAAAGTAACTGTGGATTTGTTGAATAATGTAATATGGGTATTGAAATGATATATTTATTATAAGATCTTTTGCTTATATGCATTTATCTTTTGAAATAATGTAATCTTTCAATTTCTGCTTTGTGCATTGCAATTGAATATGGAGTTCACTGAAGAAAAAATTAGATGGTTGAAGCCTAAGGGGTATCAAAACAAATTCTTGCATGGAATAAGACAAGCTCTGTGTAGTTGAAAATTTCCAAATTTTGGTCAACAATTTAATAAGATGAATGTGATCAATTTTTCACAATTAAAAAATTTATGAATCTGAAACTTGACAGTCGACATATTTGGAAATTTGACAATACAAAAAGAATCTCCCTGTTGTATGATGTCAAGTTAAAGGATGAGGTTGTATTAGTTATTTTGCCCCACTAAAAAAGAAAACCTATTTGTATGGGAGCTAAATTAATAAAAAAAAAAAAAAAAAAAACAAAACTAAGAAAATGAAATTTACCTTCTTAGTTGGTTGATCCACAAGGTCTTCCAGTTGAGGTAAACATTTGCAAGTGTTCAGTGTCGCGGATAGAAGATATCATATGTATAGAAGCTCTTTTATGTGGTTTCATTGATTAATGGCTTCTTCTCATGTATTTGGACTTGGTAGGCTGAAAAACTGCTTACAAAGACATTGCTGTACCCATACACATCTAAAGAAGTGTTTGAACAGAGCATCCGAATGCCTATTGGACCTGAATTCAACCCAATGACAGTGATTGGAGCTCTTAATCGGCCAGAGTTCAATTTGTTGTCAATACTCTAATTATTATACATTTTATTGTTTTGTACACTAAGTTCAATTTGTTGTCAATACTTTAATCACTATACAGTTTATTGCTTTGTACACTAAGTTTAATTTGTTGTCAATACTCTAATCACTATAAAGTTTATTCATGTTTTTAATTTTTTATTAGATGCATTTCATTCACATCTTTCCAGTGTCAAACATTTTAAAAAATTCACTCTCTACTCTTTGAAAAGGAAAAAAAAAAAAAAGGCACCGTGCCTTTAGGCACGGGCATACACTAGTATATATATATTGCAAAAATAACTATTAAAAAAATGAACCCTTCTTTTAGTGGTCCAGATTCTCTCCTTACTCTCTCTCATTGTCTTTCTACTTGCAACGATAGAGATGCATCCTAAGATAATTCAATGGTTCAGATCTGGCTATTTTAAAAAATAAAGATATTAAACAAGCCAGATCTGGACCGTTGAATCATCTTAGGGTATATCTCCACTGTTGCAATTAGGGAAGTATGGAGAAAGAGGAAGGACCTGACCCTAATTCTCTTTTGGTTGCCTAGAGTTGGAGTTTGGATCCTCTCTTTAACAGCTCTCATTCACTTCCTCTATGCAACGGTTGAGATTCAGCCAACCAGATCCAATGGTCCAGATCTAGTTTGAAAAAAAAAATATTATGAAATTGAAATTCCCGCCCTGTGCTATACATATACACAAAGGTTATACATTCACCTCAGTATCACGCTCACCCATTCTCCTGCACCGAACCCAGTCTCACCGGTGACCACTCTCGACGGTGACCTACTCCTGACAACCTCCCGACGCCAACGACCCACTCTTAAACTTGACCCACCGCTCCAGCTCTCATTTTCTCTACTCCGCGAACCATAGCTCCACCGCGACCACCATCGGCAGGAGTGAAGAGATTTGTTGAGGAGAACGTGGGTTCTCAGGCTATAGATATTTGACCCAGATTCAATGACAGTGTTCAACCCCATTTTTAAAGATGAAATCTGCAACAATTGAAGTTAAGCCATGGATTGTACTTAAAAAATAATTAATAATTCAATAGATATGAGGACTTTTACAAAAAAATACCAAGGATGTGTGCTCAACAGAACTAATCCAATAATCTAGCATCATTACTAGTAAAAAAATTCTTCATCTGAGAGCATTTTTTATATATCTGTTTTATGGTTTTTTCACAACAATTCCCAAAGGTTCTAAGTTTGGGATGGATTGGTATGGTTCCTCCATACCTAGGACACCAGAATATTGAAACATGAATAGAGAGAGGCATGAGATAAATGAGCAAGCATATCTGATTACACATAGAAATTGATTGCCTATCAGAAATTTTATCAAATGACAGAACTTGTGTAGTTGAATTATTTATTCTACTTTAACATTTTTGTTTGTGATGCAAAACAGAAAGTGAGAAAGAAACCGAAGTCTTCCCTCTGATCTGTTGTAGAATTCACAAAGGTGTACCCTTCAATCCACAAGGAAAAAAAGAGAAAAAATCTCAATTTTATCAAACCAAAATTCAACCTTATTGGCCACAAATTAGTACTTTTACAAGCGTTTGGTGAATCCTATCAAATCAAATCTAATAGTCTACTAAATCTAAGCCAAACATCATACTGCACAAATTAACTCTTATATATATTTTTTTTATATAAGCATATATGTTGAACCATTCCTGGATGATGTGTGTCACTCAATTAAGTTCCAAGTTAACTACGCAATTAGGTTGAACAAAGTTTCCTCCTCAGTCACCCGCACACCCAAGTGGTTGTCAATAGCAATTATTATAGAAACATTGCTCTGTCTTTCTTAGCTACCCTTATACATGTTCACAAGGGAACTCTAGTTCGCGAAGTGAGAGCAGAAAGAATGAGGGCAAAGCAATGGGTTAGGTTTAGGGAGTGGGTCGCTATTGATAGGGTCGCTGGTGAGACGAGTTCGGTGAGGTGGAAGAGAAGAGCATCCGAACTCTAGTTTGCGAAGTAGACAGAATCAATCCATTTCGATCGTTTGGGTTTCAAGAGCTTCTCGTCGTCGTCAAGAGTGGGTCGCCAGTGACGGTGGGTTCGGTGGAGGAGAAATGGGCTGAGTGAGAGTGAGTGTACAAAAAGCTGTATATTGGTTTGGGCGAGAAAACGAAATTCAATTTGTTTTAATTTTTTTTTATAGTCATTGGATTTGTAACAGCTGAGTGAAAGAGAGGTGTTAAGGAGGGGATTCAAACTCCTAGAGTTGAGCCACTGCGTTTGTTTTTTTCATACATGGGAAATAAGTGTTGAGCTACTATTGCCTAAAAGAGTATAATACTCATACATTTTGAAATGAAAAAAGTTATAGGCCCTAAGTTTTTTACCAAATGAATAATCGAATGTTTCACATGAAGTGATTTATCTCTTATCTCTTAATTACTTAACAAAAATTAGTGAGTCATCATGTTACTCATAAAATTTATCATTAATTTTGATGAGCACAAAAATAATACAATATAATCCTCCAAGAATACACTTAATAATTATCCAATAAAACAACTTCCTAGTCTTTAAAAGACTTGTAATACTAGGAATTCATCCTTTATGAAAAAAATGAATAGTGTACGAGCACG